GTTTAATGAAAATTTTATTTATTATATTTTTACACGGTGAAGAATATATACGTATTATAATTTTTCTGTCTAAATTATATATGTAAATTCAAAGTTTTTAGTTATATCGTATGTATGTACGTATTATCGGTTATTAGTTATAAAAAATCAAAATTTTTAATTGGTCAGCTGGCACATGATCTGCAAAGTGACCAATCATGACACGATATTTAATTTGTGTGATCGACCAATCACGAGAAAGTTATTCTATATGTATATAGCTGGTTGTTATTTACAGTTTTTTTAACGTTACACAAAGATCTTCAAAATTCTGCAATTTTTATTAGTTCTGAGCCAAAATTTTGCAGATCCAATTTTCGGATACCCTTATGTCAAGAAAATTCCAGGCTGAAGATCACTTCCGAGCCTATCCGGATCCAATAAAATCACAGGATCTTGTGTAGGGCTAGTGAAAATTTGCAATTGCAAAATCTGCGCATAAATCCGATTTTTATCACATAGCATATGTGATTGTGAATTTCGCATATCAGAACCATTTTCGCATAATTAATAGTGCATAATCTGCACATAAAATGGCTGGTATTAAAAATATAAGAATATCGGAATATCTCAGATAGTAGACAGTCAATGAACACAAAACATAAGCATGGTTGTCGGGGATTTTCAGAGGTATAGTAATTTATCTACGTAGTAGGTTATGAAAATATTATAATTTTATCACCCTGGTAAAGTGCATATTTTTGCATATTTATACCTGAACCGCATAATTTACAGCATAATTCAAAAAATTTATTGTATAATTTCACATAAATCGAAAAGTAATGCATGCAGAATTTGGGGTCTGCTGTCGCAGAAAATGGTGAGCCCTAATCTTGTATAACAAAACAAACACGAAAAACATAAGAAATTGTAAATAACACAAAAATTTACTATGATAACTAATTTCCGACCTCTAAATAAAAGTTTTCAGAATGAAATTTACTCATAGAACACAATTGCTAATGCTAGATATATAGGGAATTTTTGAGATACTACGACCCATTTTTTTTTGGCCGGCAGTCGGGATTTTCTTGACATAAGGATATCTCCATTTTCTTAACATAAGGGCCAATAGCCAATAGCCAAATTTTGCAAAAATTTCTAATATATATAATTTAGCCAATCATATTGCTAGTTTTTACTATATAAATATTTGGCCATTTCGGCCAAATAATTTTTTATGCATTTTGGCCACTGCATAAGGATACTCAGTTTTTAGTGATAGACAAAATTAATCAATTCGACCCGGAATGTTGGTGATCCTCCTCTATGATCACACCATTCGTGTTGAGCAAAAAGTACTACATATTAGCAAAGAAAATAATAAAGGTTTTTAACAAAATTTTCGCAATAGATAGTCCATATAGCCTTCAAAATTTGTAACGTTTTTTTAAATCCAGATTAATGGGATTGAAATAAGTAAGAGAAAAAGGGTGTTTATTCACAAAACAAAAATGTGTAATAGTAACAGAGTATTAGAAGTTACATATTCAACCGAGTTGTAAATTTTTGACTCTAATTGATAGATACAAGAATGGTCAAATCGTCATCATCATCATCTGCATGCAGAGTACTGCCACGTTTAAAACTGGTTTTGGATTTATACAAAGATTCCACATGCTGTTGGAGTTTTATAACACGATTCTAGAAAATACATAGTAAAGAGTTAATACTAAACAATAATGATAATGAATAAAACCCTTTTAATACCTTAAACATAAGCATTATGCGAATGATATCAGATATATTCCCCAGCTGTAATGGTGTATCAGAAATTGTGAATCCATTATACTGATCAACAAAATAAATTCCATCTACGTAATGCATGGAATAAAGAAAGAACTCCTTTTCTGTATTATTAAAATTATATTAAGATTAATAAACATTATATAAAAAATTAATAAGCTGAATTACTACATACTATATACAAGTAATCCGAAAGTTTCCAACTCTTCGGTACCTGACATATTTTCAGGCAATAGTTTCCAAAGTTTTGAAAGGACTAACCGCATGGCTATAAATCGAATAGTTCTTTTAGAAATTTTTACAATAAAAATAGAAAAATTAAGATTATGCTGAAGTTACGCTTTCACCTTTGAGTATTTTCTCTCGGTCCTCGTTCAACTTTTTGTCATCTTGTTTAAACGCATTCCCGATTACCTCACCAAATGCTATTTGAAAATCTTTATTCCTGGCTTTCATAGTTAAAATGGCATCATGATGCCAGCTACCTACACACGATTTACGTTTATCTACATCTCTTGCGAGATCCAATTGGGTTTTCTATCAATATTTTCAACTTCATCTCTGGTTGAATTTGATATATACGTAAATATAATAAACCTTATTTTAAAAAAATGACAATCAAAATGGATGATTACATTTTCATCTGGATTATACTATTTACGTCCAAAAAAATATCCTCCCAAAGTTGATTTACGATCCAACTTCTGTATGCATACTCGGACGCGTCAATGTCTGGAAACATTTTAAGCTACCAATTATAGATATAATATAAGTCTGTCTTTAATTGCACAGTAAATAATTATGAAATATGTTCTATATAACCTACAAGGTGGTGTAAATTTGTTGTATCCACTGAAGAGACCAGTCTCTAGCGAATAAATATGAGTGCTGATCCACAAATAGTGGTTCACTTATAGTAACCCAAACCTTCTGCAAATCTACATAGTATCCAGTTGTGGCGTCTATGATAGCTTGATTATATTTTTCTAAAAGTGATTCCAGGTTTTCTGCAATTGGAGGAAGTGAACTTACTATCTTCTTTTCGATCTAGAATCGATTTTATTGTCAATATTTCTATATCAATAAGTGAAATAAACAAGAAAAAAAATAAAAGCGTAACTTTATCCCAACTCGATTCCATTATCGACCATTCTTTATCACTATACAGGCACCTTATCGGATCGTATCCCTTAATCCGTATGCAAAATAGGGGCAAATTTGCCCGAATTTTTTAATATCATTTTTACATCATTTAAGTATAATTAATATATTATAAATCGATTCCAAAATTAGTAAAAAACATTAAAAAATATATATTTAATAAATTTATTCATTGTTTACTATGAAAATCTTTAAAACAATTAGGTC